GCGCCTCGAGTGACTTTTGTGGAAAAAAGAAATATATTTGGTTATATCGCGAGTGTCTTATGATCGCGTGCGAGTGCAAACAATGGCCGAGCACGTTGATTTAGAAACAATAAAGAGTTTGCGAGAGGAGGTCAATTGGGAGGTCGAGACGCAGCGACGTGAGTTTCTCCGTCGACTGCGCCCTTTGATCGAAAACTGGAAGGGCCAACTTCCCAACCTTTCGAAGGTATTTCGACCCGAAGAAATCAGGCGTCTTATCTGGGATTCGGCGAAAGGCCGTCTCTTCGCCGGATACGGTGATCGCGGCGAGGAATATGTACGATTCATCGTGTTCGTGATCCGAGCCGGCATTAATGAAAGCAACCTCGAACCCGACGAGGTCGCATTGCTGCAACAGTTAACCGATTCATATTACGAGCATGGCCGCCATATTTACGACCCCTGTGTTTCTCGTTGTCTTTTCGACATATGTGTCAAATTCGATGCGAATTACTTCGACGAGGAGACCCGTCCGGAGCATTTCCACATGGCCTGCAAATTCGCCGGTCACGACGCGGTGGAGAAATTTCTCGAACTCGGCATGGATCCCAATCTCCTACAGAGAGAAACGGGCGACACGCCGCTACTCTTGGCTTCGTCGACCAAGGGCAACGACAACGACGTCGGACGAACGATCGAGCTGCTGCTGAGAAACGGCGCCGATCCGAATGCAGCCGATCGAGGCGGATGGACGGCTCTTCATGAATTTTGCTGGTACGGTAGCCCCGACAGGATCGAGAGGTTCTTGAAGGTCTGCGACGAAGTCGGGCAGCAGGTGCACATCGATGCCCGAGATAGAGTAGGTCGGACGCCGCTGCTTTTTGCTCTGGAGTTGCACCGAAAGGAGGCGTTCGAATTGCTGCTGAGACGCGGCGCAGATCCGAATCTGGCCGACAATGACGGTAGGACACCTCTTCACGTTATCTGCGAAAGAGACCGCCACGATGAATTCGACCGGATGATCTTGTTTGAGATCTGTGATGAAATGCAGCTGACGGTCCAAGTTAACACCCCAGACAATGACGGTAAGACACCATTGCAGTTGGCCGTGGCGAATCTATCGCCAGAAATCGTCGATGTACTCTTGAATCGTGGCGCAGATATGTCCAACTGCTTTTTTCCGACTTCAATTGATACGAAACCTGGATATAATTTAGCCAGAATAGCGTCTGGTGCCCTGGCCGTAGCTGAACATCTCGAGACAAGAGGATATCGCTTCAGCCGAAGCGACGCCCTGACGATCATGAAATTCTTTGCTAAACACGATTTGTTCGACGAGTCATCGGATCTTGAAAAAACTCTGCGCCATGATCAGGAGTTCACAAACAACGCCAAAGAGATAATGATCGTTCCGAGTCTGTCGCTCTACGATCTGATCCACTTAGGACCCGAAGAGGAGGAAGAGCTACTCACGTATACAGACTACTTCGTGCTCTTGCTTCACAATCAATTGTGGAGGATCCCAGAAAGGCACCAAGACAATAGTATTTTGCATCTGTGTGAAAAACTATCGAGAGGATTTTTTCGACGCTGGGCCCTGGACCCGTTCTTCGAGTTGATCCACAAACGGCTGCCGCTTCTCTGTTGCAAGATGGTCCTGAAGAACCTGGACAATCGAGATTTGTGCAATATCTGCTTGGCGGCTGCAGGCCAAACCTCGCGATAACGATAAATGTATTCCCAGTTCTTTATTTATGTTCTTGTTTTATTCATTGTTCCATGGAGCACAATTGAGAATTATTTTCAAAATATGTTCCATTGTAATATTATTTAGGTGAGGATTACAAAAAATAAATTGAACAACTTAGAAAAAAAAGTAAGAAGAAAATTGAACCTACATATCCTTTAGATTCGGCTAACTCAAGTTGTAAAAGTAGATATTAAATATTCACCAAAGAGCATTTCTTTGCAATGTAAACAATACTTGCTATCTGATTTTATGGCAGTGGGAAGCTAACAAAAATTTTCAAAGAAAATGTAAATTTTATTCTACTGTACTTTATATGTACAAAAGTTCAATAAATCAAATCAAATTTTCTCATAATTACATCATTAATTTAATAGCAACAAATCATGATCGTTGCTTATCTTATTCTGGTCTGCAAAGCCAAGTATGAAAATCAATGAATTTAATAATTTCATTCGATTTTTCTCAATTTTTGACTTTCTTGAACTTTGATTTTTTTTTAGTAATTTACGATACAAGTGCCATAAGTAACATTTTTTGACACTAAGAGCTTTCCTCATTAAATGAAAATTACCGACATATCTGATTAACTACTTAATTCCATCTTCCCGGCTTGGAATTTCGTTGACACGGTCAAAAAGCGCAGAGTCCCCTTCTAGTATTCGCAATGATAGTAAGTATACGACAAACAAACTCGCAAAATCGTGAAATTACCGTCTTGCACTCGGATTCTTAACCGAAAGTTTCTGAAATTTCAACCTTAATTTTAACGGAGGGCCTTATGATAATCCACAATTTATCGCGCTGCCAACTGAAACCGTATGTCAAACGAATCTAATTGCTGAATCGGGTTTTTTGCAGCGAACTGAACTGGACATGCGCGCGTAAACTCAGCTCTCGCGACGATGCGTCGCATTTTGATGGGAGCCGAGGAATCTAAGCGACGAGTTGGTAGCCTGTAAGCAGGCGTCTTTCACGTGGACTGATTCAACGCGATTCGCATATAATTTGTGTAGCTGCTTTAACGCAGCTATTTATGCAAGTAGATATTTATTTAAATTACATTTATAATTCGCGTCACGCAAGCTCGGCAGCGGCAGGCATGTGTGTGTGTGCAACGTACTGCGCGCTGTATCGGCATTTCGTCTCTTCCGCGCCGTATAATATATGCTTTTCGAACGATTCCCCGTAGATTCGTCTATTTCTCTATCTCTTTTTTCTCGACGTCTTGTGTGTGTGTAGTACTGCGATGCCTCGAGGGCCGCAACACTATATACATACAGCAGCTGTATATAGTCCACACACGTGTCGGTGCGAAAATCAGCGTCTCGCGCGCAAGCACACACACACGGAATGAGAAAACATAGACACGTGCGATGCGGTGAGTAGTAACATATGACTGGCAAATTTCCCGCAAGCTCTCGCTCTCGCTCTGTATGGCGTGTACATTTATATACAGGCTAGGCGCGCGCGAGCTGAAATATTTCTCATTCTTCGCGTGTGTGCCCCCTACCCACCGAAGTCGGAGTTGTCTAAAATATATACGTATACGTAATATTACACATTCGTCTGGGGAAAAAGTTTCGTCGATTCTCTCTCTCTCTACTTATGCATTATGTGCGGGCGGGCGGGTATAAAAAAAAAAGTTGTTTTTTTTTTCTCGACTCAGCCTCGAAACTGTATACGAAGTACGCTAAGGTACGAACTTGCGCTTATATACGCGTACTTATATGCTATATATATTTCGCGTAGAGTAGTTGCCTCGCTTGGTATATACCACCACCGCACCGCTGCAGCAGCACCATATATATAGCCAAAAGCGAAGCGAGGCGAAAGAGCAAAAATGCAAATGCTGCGGTGTAACGCGAAAGTCGAGAGAGCTTGCTCACTAAATTGCAGTTGTTACTCTCTCTCTCGCTCTCCCCGTCTCTTTTACCCTGCGGAGGATATCCAGCCCCCGACGTATAACATTACAATACTCTGCAGCGGCTCGCTTTCACGCCGTCGGTACATAAGGTATACGTGAATAAATAATTTTTCGCCAATACATACGTGTGTATGTGTGTGCGGGAGATGTATCTGCCTGTGCACTCGCGAGCGAGTGGCTTTACATATACATTATCGTATAGGCAGCACTCGTGTGCATGTGTATATAGCTAACGAATGAATAAAATTCCGATATACGCCATAAAGCTTGGCCAATTTCGAAACTTTCTCTCTCGCTCGCTGAAATTGCGCGCGCGCGCCGCGCAATGTGGCACGTAACGAGCTTTCGTGACCGAAAGCCGCTGCCGCCCGCAATCAAGCTGCGCCGCTTTTGATACAACGCGCGATCGCGCGTCCATCTCGTACGAATAAAAAAAAAAAAAAAGACGAACGAATAAAATCAAAAAAAAGAAATCCGAAAAAGTAAAAGTTAAAACGTTAATAGGGGAGAGAGAGGGTCCAGCGAGAGCAGAGCGCAGTGACAGCGCAGGGCAGAGAAATGCCCTCTGCGGCACACAGACTCTATATATCTGTGTAGTATAGCGGATCAACGCTCACGAGTGCGTACATCTATCTATCTCTATACATTGCGCACCGTACCGGCCGCTGCGCGAAACCGGCATGGTATATATGTCCTTGCTCGTCGGCCGTGACAGCTACACACACAGACACACACACGGACGCAGCGGCAGCAGCAGAAAAGGGGCAGAAAGCCAGAGCGAGAGAGAGAGAAAGAGGAGTATAGTCGGCTCCCTTATACGCGTACAACTATATACAACACGTAAACTCGACGCGCGCCGCGCTCAGTGCGCAAGTGCACACAGGGGAATGTATAGTGGAAGAGGGCGCCCTTATACCCTCGGTATACGCAGCGATCGCGAAAGCTCCTGCGCTGTGGAGCGCAGCAGCGGCGTACACATATATATACGAGGGAGTGAAAAATTGAAGCGAGCGCGAGAGGGAGAAGGGATAGAGCGAAACTTCCCCTTTCGGCGGCTCGTATCGTACAGCTCGAACGCGCTCGACTCGGCAGTACAACAGTATAGTAGTGAGCCGCGCGCGCTCGTCTTCGCGACGCTGCTACTGCTGCAACAATATAATATAGCATTGTTTTATTTACGGAAAAAGTGGCGGCAGCGTTTCAGGCAGCGGCCTCGGAAGCTGCGCGAGACTACTACTTGTGCCTCGGTCGTCGCGGACTTTTTGCTGGGTGTCCTCGTACCAGCGACGGCGGGCGCCGTGCTCGTGCACGCATTATTGCTCGGCAACGACGCTGGCGCTTTGATATTTCATCACTCGTTCTCGTTCTCGTACCTGTGATTATTCTGTGTGCTCATATCGTTTCAGTTTTTTTTTACGAAAAAACGTCAGATGAAAATCCACGACGGCAGTAACGACAGCGGCAGCAGCGAAAGCTCGTGAAAAGCTCCCCGCTCGGCTGGTAAGTAGCAAGCAGCAGCAGCAGCAGTAGTAGTAGTAAAGCAGCGAAATCTTGTTATTCAGCCGGGCGCGTACGTACGAGGGCTCTCTTTTTACGGACGCGCCGCGTGCGTGCCTCTCTCTCTCAGTCTCCCTATAGTTGCACGAGCTTCTCAAACATTCCACGAGATATAATCGTGCGCCCAGGCATGGGGTGGTGGTGGTGGTGGTGGTGGTGTGCGCGTGATCGTAATAATACGCGCGTCTCTGAAACATAAGTAAGAAAATTGCTACGCACTTGCTAACGGGAGAAACCGATCGCGTGCCTATACATACATAATTATAATATACATAAACGCAGCGCGCGTTAAAGCTCGAGTTTGTAAACTTGCGCGTATAGATAGACCGAGACGAAGGGGGAAAGACACCGCACGAAGCTGCGAGAGGGGGGCCAAAAGTGCAAAGTTCACGGCGTGAGAAATTTATAACTGCCTGTGTTGTACGTGTACGAATGATTTTACACGTTACCCCCCCGCGCTTCGTTGCGAACAACGTTACTCTTTCGTACGTATCGCACGATGTTATAACGCATAAATCGCGAACGTGTGTGTCTCTGTAGGCCGGTATATAGCTCTCACGCCGCACCGAGCGCCGAGCACCGAGAGAGCGCTAAAATAATTACCCAAAGGACCGTGGATATTTTAATTACGAGCTTTGCGAGCGGCTTCTCTTTGAGCTTGCAAGCTCTCGCTGGTCTATATAGCTACACCTAGCCTGTACATACAGCTTTAATTCTTCCTCTCTCGTTCGCTCTCTCTCTCTATGTCCATCTTTTATTCGAACTAACTCGCTTTAAACGCTCGGCCGCCCTTTTTTTACACAATCCCTGCTGCAGTTTGGAGAAAAAAAAGTTCTAAAGCTTCGTGTGCGTATACGTGCACATCCGTACGTGCGTCTCTGTGCATTTTTGATGTTATATACATATATACACTAGCCACGCGCTCGATGATAATGAACGCGCGAGCACGCACACGCGGGACAATTTATATATACGAGTGCCTTGTATACGTATGTGTATGTACTCTCGGGTGTACGATGATCGTTGCAGACGGCTTGGCGCCCTATAATGCCGCTGCCGTGTACACCCCTAGCTACCGTACATATATAGGTATAATACCGCTATAAAACGTCGCAGTCGCGCTTACTGCCGTTTACGCATGCTATAGCAGCAGCAGCTACGAGGGTTAAAACTGCCAACGCGATTAAAGCCAGCATCAGCAGCAGCACACCCGTATGTTTCGGCTGGGTAGTATATAAGAAAGACTGTGTACGGATCTTGGAATGTTGCGGAGCTTCTATACGTAGCTCACGCTGCGCTTGTATATACGTAAATATAAAGCAGAAACACAGACGCAGAAGAGAGAGAGAGAAAGGCAGCTACACTGCGTAGTGTGTATTTACGTCCCGGAACTCGCAAGCTCGGTGCGGCTAAGAGAAGAGAGAGAGAGATAGAGAGAGTTAGTCGAGGGAGTTTATTGGAAAGTTTCGCGGGGAGAGAGCGGCAAAAACTTATCCCAGTGCCGAGATTATTTACCTCCTCCCCCGTCCCCCGCGCGCGTATATATACGCGGAGGTTATCGATAAATGGAATCCGTGCCGCAGAGAGCGCCGATAATTAAAGCTCGAATATAACAGTATATCCTATATATCTATCTATCTCTATCCTCGCCCTCTTTTTTTTATTCTCTACTTCTCTCTTTCTTTTTTTTTCTCGCGCATCAGCTTATAGATATTTCACGCTTACTCCTGCTCGTCTTTTCATTCACGCGCGACGAGGAATATATCAATAATAATAATAATGATAATGGTAACGAGGCCCGTTACAACAGCGAGCCCGATACAAAGAATTTCGTGTGCGTTGCACTGCAGCGCCGTATCATTCATCGCTCGAGCTCGCGTGTTCTCTCTCTATCCGAGAGAAAATAAATACGAAAAAAACTGCCTACTTATATTCTTCTTCTTCTACTTTTTCCTCTGAACTCTCTTTTCTATTCTACGCGTGTGTATATGCACGTAAAACGGAAACAATGGGGGGATGAATGTGCTATACGAGTACGTGCGTGTATGCAAAGTGAGAGAGGAAAAAAAAAATTTTTTTTCCCCATACATTATCGCGTACGTGAAAAGGAGCAAATTATGCGAAGTAGGCTCTCTCTCTCTCTCTCTGGCGTACTACTACTGCGAACACTGCACACTGTCTTTTCGGCGCATCGACGGTGTCTCTCTATACATAGATATATATTATACGGTTGGTACGTTAAATAACGAATGTGCGCGTCGAGCCGTTAGCTGCGCCTTGTTATAGCCCTCGCTATGCAGAAAGGATTTGCATAAATCAATTATATAATTTGTGCTTTTGGCGGCCCGACCGGGGCCGATCGGCAATCGTGCGAATTCACGTATAGTAAACACAGCATCGACGACGAAAATCGATTTCTCATAATACCTGTGTCCGTGTGTGTTCGTAATTCGTCGCGAGTAATAATTTGAATAATTCAACTCCACTGTATTATGTACGCGATGGATGTAACGTTTGCTGAGAATATATTTATACGCGAGTCGTTAATTAAGCATCGTTAACTTTTCCGCGCGCCGCACAGCCGTATTAATATAATAATCCTCGCGCCCGCGACTACAACGACGACGAGTCGGACGAACGTTGTGATTTTTTTTCTCTGCTTTTCTTTTTTGGTATCAAGCGGATATAATATCGATGTACAGCGGCAGCAGCCACCGTCTCGTCTGTTTTTCTTTCTCGCTTCGTTTCTAGCGCACTCGTACTACAGTCGCTCTCGTAATATTATAAGTCCAAATGGAATAAAAAAAAAAAAAAAATGACCGAAATTCACGGGCGCAGTCGCACGTACGACGAATTAAAAACGTCACGCACGCGGATTTATCCTTTTTATTTTGTCGCTCGCAGCAGCTCTCGCGCGTGGTATTATATCGCGTACACGTTTCCTCGCTTTACGCGCGACTCTTCAAAGGCGAAAAAACTGCTGCTACACGTTTTCTAGCATACACATATGTGTGCCAATGATTAAAGTCTTTCTCTCGCGTTATATGTGTATATATACATATGGTATGCACGCGATACATTTCAATCAAACGTGTACGTATCAAGCTCCGCAGCTGTGCGAATGCAACTGCACGAACGACAACAAAAAGGAGAGAGAGAGAGAGAGAGAGAGAAAGAAAAGAAATAAAAAGAAAAAGTGTCAACGAACTCTTGGGGAGGCGCAGCGCAGCACCCGCATAGACACACACGCACACACAAATAAACGTACATGCACAAAAGGATTTATCGAATTTTACAAGACTCGACTCGTGCAGTATATAGATAAAGAACTCGTCTAATTGCGGTGAAAAAAAACGTTATTTTCCTTTTTCTTCGACGCACACACACTCCACTCAGACTGATCGATCAACCATAATAGAGTAGAAAAGAGAGAGAGAGAGAGCTTGCAAGCTCGATAGTGCGCCAGACATGTACACACATACGCACGCACACAAAAGGCGAACGACGACGCGCTAATGCTTTCAAGGGCCCCTATAGAGAAAGAGAGAGGATGTTATACCGCGTCGCGCGTCTATTATATGTAAAAGGTCGAACGCGCGTTTGTACGTATATAGAGGGAAGAGGGGAATGTTTGTGTCGAATGTCTTTATCTTTGATTGTTGATGTGCTTTTAGTAGTGCCGCTGCCGCGACGCGTTGAATTACGATTGATTTTCTTTTTCACACACACAGATACACAGATACACTCGCGCTCTCGTACATAGTACACGTCGTTGTTGTTATTTTTCCTTTTTTTCGGTGGCTTCCGCAACTCTGTACATCCATTTTCTCCCTTATTTTTCGTTGTTGTTTTTTTTTCGTTTGTTGTTTACGCGCGTCACCTCGTTCGACCTCGTTCGCGCGTTTTAAAATACGTGTAAAACGAAGAAAACGTGCCGTCGCATATACGGTAACAATTCGTGAATCAAAGTTACTTCGTAATGAACATAACGCAGCATACGAACATTCGGTTCGATATATATACAACGAATTCGAATAATGCATACATTGTAAGAAAACACAAAAGTCGACGGCCGGAGAGAAAGAGAGATAAATACTAGTGTTTGTGCCATACTGGACACACAGCCCAACAGCAGCAGCAGTAGAAATACTGCAGTTGGACGCAAAACTTTTTCTTCAACTCTCTCGGCATATACACACGTCTCTTTCGCTCTTTTTTTTCACTACAAACACGCGGAAGTTTTCCATGCTGGTTTCGCGATAAAAGCTGTATGTATATATGTGTCGCAAGCTCTGCATCAACAGCTATAATAATAATAATAATAATATGCACTACAGCGCGCTACTACGACGATAATAGAGCTGCAAATTCGCCAAAGCTCTCGTTCTCTCTCTCTCTCTCTATTTTAGCTTACGAGTAAATCGTAAAAGTGATCGCGCGCATACAGACACACACGAGCGCTGCTTATAACGTGATATATATACACAAACGATACCCTATCAATTCCATTTAGAGTACAGCGCGCGGCTTTATACGTGTATATACGCTATATACGGGCTACGCTCTTATATGCATGCGCGCATATAGGTACATCGCCATAGGCGCACTGTAATATAGTTACGGCGCTGTACTGGATCAGAATATAGTGGTGTATACATACACATCGGCGCGAATGTTTATACGTGCACTTAGAGCGAGGCTTATACTGCTGTATATGCGCGCGCCGTTATATGCACCTTGATCTCGCTCGCTCGCTCAGCGGGAGGAAATAAAAATAAATAAAAAAAAAAAAAAGAGAGAAGAAGAAGAGGTAGCAATTTGTGTAAATATATGGTTACGACCTACCAGCGATGTGTATAAGAGCCTTTCGAGACGGAGAGAAAAAAGCCCATAATATAATGCATGCAGCGCTCAGCGCGAGGTCAAAAACGCGCGCGCGACGGCGACCACTATACATCGTTATTATTATAAACGATTGAATTCCCATTCAAAATAGTCGCTCGACGACTTACGCTCGGGTACTTAGGTACATATAACGTATAGAGTACGGGAACGCGATCGACGCGAATTTACTATCTCCTCGTTTTTTTTCCTCTCTCTCTCTCACTCTTTCGGCAGGATGGGCGGACACAATGGGGCAAAAGAGAGAGAGAGAGAGAGAATGGATGGATGGATGGATGCTCCCGGTGCAAGAGTCACGTAGCCTATACACTGTACATCAACTAGACAACTAGTAGACTAACTACTATACATCAGCCTCGAGCAGCAGCCTGTGTGTGTATGCGTGTGTACCTATACGTCTACGTGTGTTTGCGCGTGGCTTCTTCTTTTTGCCCTCTCTCTCCCTCTCTTTCTTTTTTTTTATCCTTTTCTCCGAGGCTACTACCCTCGCCGTACGCGTTACAAGAGACTTGGTCCATCGCTCTATATATATTATACTATATACATCCATTCGCTTTTTATGTAACTAGAAAAAGATGAGCTTGCGAAAGAGCCGCTAGCTGCTGCAAAGTTGCAGTACGGGATAAAAAAATGTATGTGTGTGCTGCTGCTGCTGCTCGCTCGAGCGCGAGGGTCGTCGATCGATCTTTACCTCCTCTGTGTGTGTGTGTAGTATATATATACGATGAAAAGCGGCATACGTCCCGCGTACATCAACTGGAAGGAAAATTCGCAATATCCATCATTATTATCGAGTGTATATAACACGTGATATAAATTTATATATATCCGTGCGTCGTCGTTAATTAAATTTAATCATCGTTACCATACGCAACGGCTTATTTTATATACGGCAGCATTATATATATAGCGTATAAGATTTAATATTTCAAGTAGTGAGAGCTTACGCTTGCGTCAGACACGAGGCCTCTGCCACTGCAGCCGCCGCCACCGCTGCAGAAGTAGTAGTAGTAGTAGTATACACGTGCGTGTGTATGCGCGCACGGGAGGACGTCATATCTAGGCTATATAATATCCCCGGCGTAATCTCTCGGCCATTATTACAGTAATATTTCCATTTTCTACGTATGCAAATGTCGGTGCTGCTGCTGGGGGTGGAAGGATACACGTAGTATTATATGCAAGATCCGAGAGGCTTGATATCCTTGTTGTATATAGCTGCAGCTTCCGAGCGAGCGACGTAGGGACGGAGGGAGGGATATATAATACGCCACGTGAAATCCTCGTGTGTATAACGCACGAGTCTATGCGATGCTCGTATATGCATATCGCGTATTATATGTGCCTTGGCTCGAGTGGTGCATATTTTATAAATCGGCTTCTCTGTATATACGAAATGTTAAAACTCAGTTTCGTAATCGAATTATTATTTATATACATATCTGTTTCAGGGAGGAGAGATATCGCTTCGCGGATTATGTGCGTGCCTGCATGTGTACGCGTGTGTATCGTGAATAAATACCCGAAGCTGGAAGCAATGTGAGAAAGAGAAAGAACAAAAAGGCGGAGAGGAGAATGGAGCCGCGCGGCTTTGTTCGCGCACTGCCGCCGCCGTGATGCGCGGCAATGTAGCTAAAAAAAATAACAACGATAACGAGGCCACCGCCTGAATAGTCCTAGGACCAAATAATAATACGACGACAAAAAAAAGACACGCAATTTTAGCCGATACATTAAGAACGAAAGAAAAATGTTCGGCACGAAGATACGCAGCTGGATGGAGGCGCAGCTGGCTCGCTCGCGCTCCAAGCGCAACAACAAGGAGCAGCAGCAGCGCAACAAGAACAATTCACCACCTCCGTTGCCCATAATCGCCCAGCGTCACAGCTTGCTGTATCGACACGCCACCTCGCCCTACTACGAGACGACGGTGGCGACGTTCTTCGACTCTCAGCCGCCGGACGATTTCGACGAGGTACGTATATAAAGTGATGATTGTTGTTTTTTTAGAGAGAGATACCTCACAAGTTTGGATATACGCGTTACATCGCGTGTAGAAATCGTACGAGTTCTTACATATCGTATACGCGCGAAATCTGCTTTTAATTAATGCATTATCGTACGACATCGTCCGATAAAGAGACGATGATAACGATAAGCTCCTCTGTACTACCTATCGCGCGCGCTCGTTATGCATTCATCTACTCTCGCTACTGGTGCTATACATAATTGCCCTTACTACCCCAGCTGCTGCTGCTGCTGCTGCTGCTTCGGAAAAATCGATAAATCGTACATACAACGGCTCTCTCGAATTGTTATTCGACTAACGTAAATTAAGCCTCGCGCGCGCGCCTAGAAAAAGTTTCCGTCGCTCGTGTGTGTACGTGACCGGCTGCCGTCGCTCGACGGAGAGCAAAAGAGAGCAAAAAAAGAAGAAGTAAGGAGAAGGAAGCGAGAAAAAAAGAGAGATATGAAAATATGACTCGAGTGACCCACAAAAGTGTCTCGTCTATGCAGTTTTTCCGCGTCTGTTTCTCACGGCAGCAGCAGCAGCATTGCTCATTATGTACGGACAAGATACCTAGCTATCAGGCGGCGTACTATTAATGTACGAAAGAGGCTAACGAAAGGGAGACGAAGAAAATATAGACAGATGATAGTTTTTTTTTTATTCTCTCATTCCTATACTATATAACTATGCGAACGAGCGAATTTTTCTATCTGTCTCTACTTCTTTTTTAATTCCTCCATTTCATCTCGCGAACGTGGGCAAAAAAGGAAAATTGATTAAATATCGAATATTCATGGAAACGAACGCGACATAGAAAATGATTCGATTATTTCTCTCTCTTCCCCACTCGACGTTCGATTCTCCTTCTTATAATTCACATCCTGTATCTATCTCGCGGACGAGCTTGTACCGGAGTTTTAATTTCTCCATTAAATACGCATTTGTAGATCTCTCTCTCTTTCTGTGTGTCGCGAGAAGATGGAAAAGTTTTCTTTTTTTTTTTTTATTCAAAGCTCGAGGCGCGCGCGTACATCCCGAAAAGTTAAATAAGATCGCTTGAAAATGGGAGAAAGGATAAAAAAAGAGGAGGAAAAAGATAGACAGAAAGGAAAAAAGCTCGCGCAGCAGCAGCCCGATAGGTAGTGAGCGAGCGAGAGAGAAGTGACTTATACGCGAAGGTTTGCAAGAAGCAAAAGAGAAGAAGAGAGAAAAAAAAATAAAGTGGAAGCGAGAGTTCGCGCGCGCAAAGCTTCTTTTCCTTTTCCCCGTATGAATCAGCGCTCGCGCGTCGTGTGACAGGGCCTGGCGCTGAGCGCGGAATAGCGTAGTACGGTAAAAAAAAAAAAAAAGAAGAAGAAGAAGCGGGAAAAATTTATGACGTATTTGTGAAAATCTCCGAGGCTCGTTCTGTTTTACTTTTTTTTCTCTCTCTTCTTCTTCTTTTTGTGAAACATATGTTCAACCGTTCAATGGTTCAGACAACCACACACACACAGTCACACGTGTGCGATATATCACACTCGCAAAACAATAAGTTTATATATATATAATACCTTTGCACACTGCTGACTGTGCGCGCGCGGGCGGTGTCGAGCGAGAGGCGGCGACATCGTTTCCTTAAGCCCGAAGCGTCGTCGTCGACTCTCAAAGACTTTGAAACCCTCTCGTGGGAGATGTTTGTATAATATTCGCCGCACACGGGGCGCCCTGTGTGTGTATGTGTATATGTCATTATATATAGGACATGGCTCGTGGCGAAAAAAAAAAAAAAATAAGAATTTCGTAATTTACTTCGCTTCGAGTAGCGCAATCTTTCAATATATAAACTACTTTCGAGCTACTCGAGGGGATTACGTTATATACGCACAGACGATATGCAAAAATTCGACTTACTCTCGGGGGCGCTCGCGAGTATATATATACAGTTCATGATTTACGCTCACGATAAAATTATACTTTCAGATCCGGCCGGCACTTCCGATCTCGCCGTCGAGCTTCAAGCCGCGAGTGCCGCCCGGTCGCAAGGACTCGGGCGCGACGTCGGCCACCATGTCCAACGCCACCAGCAATTCCACTTCTACCACCGCTACCAGCGGAGTAGGTGGAGGATCTCAGCAGCAACAACAACAAGTCCAGAATAAATTGCACAGCGCCGTTAATCTGTCGTCGCCCGAGAGCGCCTACAGCACGGGTTACTCCACGGACGGCACGTCGCCCTGCGCGACTTACGCGCCCGAGCAGTACATCGGTATCAGACAGCAGCAGCAGAAACAGCAACATTCGGTGACTACTACTACTACTACTACCAGCACCGCTGTCGTTCCTGTCAATGTTGTTCCTTGTACCGTCGCTGCTGCTGCTCCGGTCAAAGGACGAAGGAGCGAGCGGGTGAGTTGATTGATCAAAGCTCTGCGTATTACGATGTTATATAACGTGCAATTTACTTGAGTGCACGCGGCGAGCAAGCAGCAGAGCAGCAGCGAGCGAAGACGTCGCCGTGTATACGCATACTGCACCCAGGCAATATACATACGTAACGTAACCGACATCAAACGAAAATTAGCCTCGTGTGCGCCGCCGCCCCCGCAAGCTGGCGCCGAGCTTGCGCGCGAGTTATATACACTGTATTAATATACACGAACTACTACTACTACTGCCATATGAACTCGCGTATTATATATGCACGTGACGGTGGTGGTGGTGAATGCTCTTTGAGGGCTCGTTAACGTGTAAACGCGCCGCCTGCCCCACCCTTGATATATACTTACTAATATTATAATCGAAATTCTCGGTGTTAAACGCCCTGCATCGACCTTCTTTTTCTACATATATATACGAAATGGTACGAGACGAAAATCGAGCAACTGCTAGCCGATTGAAAGAGAAAAAAGAAAAGAGGCAAATAATATAAGCGCTAGATTGCACCGATGCGCGCCCGAACAATTGAATAGGGTCAAACTCCGCAAGCTGTCTCGTATATATACAACGTTATAGCTACGTCATTTCTCGGTGCATTATCAGTCTCTGTACTACTCCGTATATACGTATATACATCAACGCAGATACACGTGTATTTTCTCCATTGTGCCTCGCTTTCGATCTGCTCGAACTCGCTCTCGTGCAACAACAACCTCTCTCTCTTCACCGCCCCCGCATTGTATACCATATGTACTACTACTGTACGCTCGCTGCTGCTGCTGCTGCTTCTCTGCCGTAATAATAATAACCGACCGAGACGAACTTAAATTAAAAGGACGCACGTGCGCGACGATATTATGTATTATCTCCCACAGTACGAGAACGGCAACAACACCGGCACGTATACTCAATTATCGTCGTCGTCGCGTTGCTACTCGCCGCCCGAGCCGCATCCCTGGCGCAAACCCGAGCCGCCGAGTCGCGTGCTCAGCTGCTCGGCCACGAGCTCGCCCAAGATCCATCATCATCAGCATTACAATCTGCGCCAGGCCGACGACACCAACGTCAACTCCTACAACCCTACTACTGGTGAAGGGCCCGCTACCTTCTGCATCGGTCCGCGCGCCTATCCCGGCGATTATCCGGCGCAGTTGTTCTCGCCGCGCACGACTCGCCACTGTCGCACGGCCGCAACGTCGCCGCTCGTTGCACCGGCAACGTCGACTCAGGTATTTCATATACATATGCGAAACTTCATTATCGTTATTATTATTATTATATGATATGTATGTGGGTCATGTAAAATTTTGCGCTCGCGAGAAGAATTCATTCTGGAATTCTCTGCAGTCGAGCGAACGAGAAAAATGTGCGCGTGACGAGCATTCTTTTGTATTTATTTACTTTTATTTTATTTTTTTCGTCGTTTCGATTCGTGTGCCCTGCCTTGTAAAAAAAAAAAAAAGTATACACAAAGTAAAGCCAAAGGCGCATTACATTGTACCGTGTGCCTAATTGAATTCCAATGAAGCGCTATGTATATAAATATTTTACGTGCTTTGGCGCGCGCTCTGCGAATCTAGGTAATGCCGATAAAGTCGCCAAGGCAGAGATCGCGACCAAGGACGAGTCCCTGGCAACAGCAGCAGCAGCCACAGCCGCAATCACAATTGCAACCCGTTAACGGACGAGCTTGGACGAGACAACAGCAGCAGCAGCAGCAAAATTACTACCCGACGGGTATGGATCATTGCTACAATAGACAAGAAAGCCTGAGCGTCGGACGCAGCCCGTGAGTGTTGTCTCGCTTGAATGAATACAAATAAACTTGAGGGAGAGAGAGAGAAAAGCCGATTAACTTATACCTACGTATATACGTCTCTCTCTGTGTGTATGCGTATGCAAATACCGATGCAGGGTGAATCGAGCCAGCAGCGGCAACAACGATTGGCGACGATCGAACCATAACAACAATAACAACGGCGGCGGCAGCAACAATAATCATCAACGCCACCGACGTCGCTCCAGTTGCAACAGCAGCAACAGTCCGAGCTGCAGCAGCAGTCGCAGTTGCAGCCTCAGCAGCAATAGCAGTGCCAGCAGCAGCAGCAGTAGCAGCAGCAGCAGCAGTAGTAGCAGCGGTAGCAGCGGCAGCAGCAGCAGCGGTGGAAGCAGCAGTGGCAACGAGTCGAGCGACGAGGTCAATGACGATCTCGCGAGAAACGATCGGTGCGGCGTTACCAGCGAGGACAGCGAGCACAGCACCACGGAAGACGTCACGCTCAACGAGGTAAGCCTATTTTTTTTTCTTTACGAATACCTGGAAAGAAAAGTTTAACGTACCGGCCGGCACACAGTTGATGGGCAAATACGACGAGAACTACCTGTACGAGAAGGAGACCGACCTCGTGTCCTCATCGGCGGGCAGCCTCGATCGGCGAACGACGAACGGCTGCGTCGGTCGCAACAGTTCGACCTTCAACGTGTCCTCGGCTGCCACCACCTCGAGCCTGAGCAGTCTCGAGTATCAGCTGGAGGATTACGATAAGGAGCCAACGACGCAACCGAGCAGTCGCTGCTCGTCGTCGCGCAACAACTACATCAACAACAACAACAATCACAATCACAGGCTGTCCTCTTCGAATCAGAGCAGCAACGGCGGCGGTAGCAAAAATAATAGTCGTCATCGTCGTCGTCGTCAGCAGCAGCAGCAGCAACAACGTCGTAATCGCGGCTACTCGGCCCAGCGTACAACGACGAAGAAACAGCAGCAACAGCAGCAGCAGCAGCAGCAACGCAGCAGGAGACGATTTCGACGCAACAGCAGCAACGTCGCCTACACGTCCGACGACGAGAACATAGTGGAACGCGAGAAGCGCGAGGAGGTGGAGCTGCTGCAAGAAGTCATAAACAGAAGGTACATTTGACGTAACAAAAATAGCTTTAATTGTCCTTTTCTTTTTCTTCGCAATTTGTACAAGAGAGGTGGTATATAACGTATCTAAAAAAAATTTTTACGTTCAACAAAACTTAATTAGTAATCAATAACGATATTCAATGACTCTTTATCACTTTGACCGGCCAGCTGAGACACAGTCTGTCCTTGTGCTTCTTCAAGAAACCCTGGGTCCAGTACGAGCTCGCCATGTCGAGCATGTCCCAAGCGCGCGGATACCGCGTACCTGGCGTCTTCTTCGCGTAAGCGTAGATCTCCTTGCGGTATCGCTTTCTGGTCAGGCCGCCCTCGGCGCGTGCCATCTTGTTTAGGTGCGTCACGAGGTCGCGCTCCTGCTCGTCGCTCCAGATCCTGTGCAGCTCGTAATTCGTCTCGGCTTTGCCGAGGCACGATGAGTTGCTGCTCTGTTGCTGCTCGGTAAGGCGCTTGTGATGCTGCAGCGTCGCGGGCGCTATGTTGAACAGATCCGAGCCCTCCTTGACGCTCCAGTCGCCCGCCACGATGCCGTCCAGGGCCTTGTGGAGATTCGCCACGTCGTACACGTACTTGCCGGGCTTCAGCTTTTTGCCTTTGTAACCATTTGCTTTCTCGTCGTCGCCGCCGTTCGCCTCGAACTCGCGAGGATCCAGCGTCGTCGCCAAGTCCTCGCGATGCCTCGCGTAGAACTGCCTCATCCACGCGGTGTCGAAGGCGCGCCAGGCGTCGTACACCCGGCTGTACTTGCGTATCTGTTTGGTCGCGTACTCGTAGGTCAGCTTTTTCGCTTGCTTGAGTGTGAGCAGAGTGAGCTCGGGTTCTCGGCAGTAGGCTGAATTGATATAATCGACCAGCTGCGACTCTTCCTCGTCGGTGAAGATTTTTTTCGAGGGTTCAGGACTAGAGGCAGCGTCGCTCGAGACATTAATAATTTCTACATCGTTATGGTTGAGCTCAACCACGTAATTGGCGTTGATCTCCTGTTTTTTGGCTTGGTGCTCGTTCGTAATTTCGACATAATTGTCGTTAATACTGTCATCGAGTAAACGATCTTCGGTAACGTCGACGCAATCATCACTGTACTCCGAGCATTCGTCCTCAACGATATCACAATTATTATCGTTAACGTCGCCTACCGGCTCGAAAGTCTCGTAAACCATGTCGGGAAAGTGATAAAAAGTTCGTACCATTTTCACGTTCTCGACTTTGGTGTTTGTTTCTTCTTCGCGATCGTATCGGGCTATTTCCTCTTCTTCGTCGACCATCCTCTCCTCTTCTTTGGCATCGTATTCTTTTTCCTCTGCCTCTGGTTCCTCTTCCATCGCATCGTAGCTCTCGATAACTTCCTCGTCGTCGCTGGCTTTACTCGGCGCGATGACGACCTCCTCGATCGCGACTCCTTTTTCCTCGTTGTATTGACAATCGAACGGAAAAGATTCCGAGGCATCGTCCTCGTTCAACAAGTAGCTGTCGTTTATGCCGTCGACGTATTCGTTGCCGACCGAGCAGCTCTCGGAATCTGCCTCGACTTCGTCAAGTGCATCTTCTTCCACACCTTCAGTGTTATCTTTCGAAGTCAGCGAGCCAATTTTCAACGCCTTCTCGTCCAGTCGCAACTCTCGGCCGTGCTTAACGATGAAACCCATCATCCAGCTGGTCGAGGCGATCTCTCGCTCGTCCCAGCCCTTGGGATACTTCAAGCCTTGAGCGCGTACGAACTCGTAGACCAGGCGCCGGGCGCGTTTTCTGCCGAGGCGGCAGCCCTCCGCGTCGGCGCAGCGATTCACGTGCTCGACGATGGCCGACTCGTCGCGAGCGGCGAAACCGCGTCTGCGGTCTAACGTCCGGCTGAGATACGCCTCGGCCGAGCCACCCGCGCCACGATAGATGCGCAGATGCAGATGTAGCGTGGCGAGCGCGACGTCGTGGAGGCGCGCGGCCTCGCGCAAGTTCAGCCTCTTGCTCGTCACGTCCTCGATGGCCCGCAGCACGACGCTCCTATCCACCTCCTTTTTCCTTCTGCCTACGCGCCTCCTCTTCTCCGCTGGCTCCTTTTCTTCTTCGTCCTCCTCTTCCTCTGGTTCGTCCTCCTCGTGTATCACGACGACGTCCTCGAACGGATCGAAGCCCTCGAGCTCCTCGTCCTCGTCGAAGGACGAGTCGGCCTCTTTGTCGCGCGCCGCCAACAGCTCTTCCGGCTTGATCGTCAGCTTCCGGCGATTCTTGGAGGTGAAGCTGCGCAGCCAGGTGAGACCGGCCTGCTGGGCCTCGTCCCAGCTCGCCGGGTACCTCAGTCTCTTCGCCACGGCGTACTGATAGGCGATACGGCGCATTCGCGCGCGACCTATGCCGTTCTCCATGGCCGAGCGCGCGTTCATGTAGTGCACCAGTTGCTTCTCCTCCCTCTCGGTGAAGATCGGCGGCCTCGAGCGCCGCCGCCTCTTGTCGTCCGACATCGTCGTCGTTCAATCTAAAAATATATACAATAAAATAATATTTATCAATCGTGGATCGCGATCAAGGTTCTCAACCAATTGACTTACAGACTGAAGAGGACCACGAGCGAGGCGACGGCCAAGACGAATCGAGCATTGCTCGAGCGCCTTTTGATGCGCAACGCAGCGGCCTTACCCCTGATCAACGGAGGAGCGGCGGCGACTCGCTGTTACGAGGGCAGACGCGCCTGGTCGGCCAATCCCAGCCGAAGCGTCGGTGGCACGCCGATCTGCCTGCGAAGACGCGTCGGCACGACGACGAGGCAACAACAACACCAGCAACAGCAACAGTTACAGCATCATCAGCAGCAGCAGGAGCAACGTAAGGCGGTGGAATTGCCGCGGCGTCAGGTCTATTCGCCACCGGCGACGAGGTCGGCGTCGATTTTCGAGCGCAATTACCAGGTGTATCCAGCTGTAAGTAAAAATTAGATCAATGAAATTATTATTATATTGCATGAAACGAAGAAAAAAAAGTCAAAAAGTAATGGCCCATGGGGGGATCGAACCCACGACCTTCGCGTTATTAGCACGACGCTCTAACCAACTGAGCTAATGGGCCAGATGTTAGCCCGAACAGAAACAGCCTCTCAGGCCAAGATCCGGCCCGGATCTTCAAATAAGCGCCCGGATCAGGGTAAAATCAGGGGAATTTTACGGGTGTAATCACTATCTTATCCGGCCCGGACCTTGCCCGGAGTATAGTGTAAACATAACCCTTCGCGACATGATTGTAGCGCCATTAGTTGCTCAAAAGTCTGCATGTTTTGAGCGATCGGATGCAAGTATATACTCGCAATCGAATTGCTTTTCAATTCATACTTATAATATAGTATGAATATTATGAGTAACTTTCAACAATGTATTGAATGTTGTATGATGAATAATTCTTTCAAAGCATTAGCAATCACAGATGAGCGTATTTTATCTACACAGACTTCAACGACATCATTTTCATCAAAACATCATTGAAACTTTCGTCAAGACTATCGCTTTTAATCATTTTTCAAACGATGTATATTCAACTTTTCGTCTATTCTTACTATTACAGAAATTACAGACGGACTACATTAATCAAATTAGACGAAATATATAAATCAAATTAAGTTGTGCTCGTGGTTCATTGCCAACTGACACTGTCAACATGTGCACGGTGTTAAAAAATAATATAATCATGCTAGCTACATTCATAGGATTCAATCGCATAGTGGAGGTTATGTTCACACTATCCTCCGGGCAAGATCCGGGCCGGATGAGAACATGATTACCCCCGCTCTACGGGCCGGATCGCCAGCTTGATACGGGCCGGATGATCAGATCAGGCTTGAGTCAGGCTTTTTCTGATCGGGAGACGAGGGAAATAGAGCAGTACGTAATCTAAAAAATCTGGGTCTATATCACATCGAGCGATAACGTCGAAAATTATCTCAATAATCTTGATGATAGTCGTACCGAAAAGAATCTCGATACCCTTGAACTTTCATTGCGCAAAATAGATACTCGCGTCGATAAAGCAGATCTCATGCGACGCGCGACATTCGAAATTCATTGCAGAGCGGACCGAGCTCGCTGGGCGCCATGACCGCGATGTCCGCCTCGGAGCTGGCGCTGATCGAGGCGGACCGCGAGGCCGACCTCAAGTACGCCCAGCTGATACTGGAGGCCGAGCGCATGCTCGTCAGCGCCCAGCGTCACTTCGAGGACAACGACGCGACGACGACGCCCTGCAGCAGCCGGGCGAGCTGCTACAACACAGACGGCGGCACGACGGTTACGGCCAATAATAGTAACGGCGGTGGTGTCAATGCGAGACTGAGTAATAATAATGCGCCACCGAATCCACCGCCGAGAAACAAGAGGGTCGAGTCGATCAAGAACGCCGAGCTGAACATCGAGCTGGCCCTGTCGAGGAGCAGAAACTCCCAGCCGGAGTTGGCCAGCGGCAGTATCAAGGATCTGCTGGTGGATCATAATCATCACAATCATAATTATTCCAGCAGTCCCAAGAGATTGCTGCAACAGGTATGCAGAGATTTTTTGATAAACTCGAGAAACCCATACAACAAAAATTACAAATTTTATAGTAAAAATGTGCCATTAATGACTTGTGATAAAATTTACTATAATATTTATCAAAATTTAGAAGTCTATTATTTATCAAAATTTATTTTGTCATAAGTAAAAAATGTCACACTTTTACCATAAAATATAGTCATTTTTCCAATATAAGTTTCTCTTTATGGAAATAAAACTTTTCTGTTTTTGCACAAGCAGCAACAGAAGAAAATGATCGAGCAGGCAGCAGTGGCCACGAAAACGACACAGATTACCGATCATCGTCGTTTCAACGATATCGAGTGAGTAACTCAAAAAAAAATTAAAAAAGTAAATCAAAACTATTGTCGTGTTTATTATTTACAGATCTACGCATCATCATCAGCAGTACTCGTGTCCGCAGAGCGAGCCGCTCAAGCGCAAAGTTTACAACAACAACAACGACGACAACGACAACGAGGGTCAGCCGTCGTCGTTGACGCAATCGCCCTCGAGCTGCTTGCAGACCCCGAGCTGGCTGAGGAGCTCCGACGGCGATTGCGCCGATCTGCAGTCTCAGACTCAGCAGTACTCGCAGCTGCAGCGCAAGCAGATGCTGATCGAGACGCTGCGGGGCCTCAAGCGCAGCCTCGAGGACCAATCGGCCGCTCTCAAGCAGAGCTGCTTGCGACCAATTTAATAAGAGAGATACACGAGACACAATTTTTTCCTTAACAATGTGCGTGGGTATGAAAAGCCACGCGTACACGATTATTTTCTATCGTATGAAAGATGAAAGGGCTGCCTTCGATAACTAAAAAATAGGATTGAATAATTTTTCTATGAAAAAAAAAAAAGAAAGAAATAATAATAATGATAATAAGAAAAACGACTCGAATTTGAATATCGATTACGATATAAGATTGTTGAATTTTTTTCTTCTCTGCGAGGTTTAACGGGAGGAGATTGAGAGAAAGAGAGCGAATGAAATAACGCGAGTATGTACTGGAATCGATCGATACTATTTTCCAAACGAGCAGTTTTTAGCGCGCGCACTTGATCGAACAAAAATAAAAGAAAAATATTGGTGCTTATATATAAACACACTCGTACATTTATAGACGAAAAAAAAAAAAACTATAGGGAGTTTAGCTAGTGTTCCATGATTAATACCGAATAGATTATAGAAATTCTCCATGATTAATCTTCTAGTCAAGTATAAACCAAATGGTAGAGTAGAGAAAGTTAGCGAGCGAATAGTTCACAATTGGTTGGCGAATGTAGTTGGAAATTTAGAGAAAAAAAAAAATTACTATCTGCTAGGTCGAGATTAGTTAGAATCTTCGTGTATGGAAAAAAAACCCAATGTATATCTTACGTACCCAATTCTTTTTATACGTATTTAAAGAAAAAAAAAAACATTCATTAGTCTCGATAAACTAACTAAAAAAGTTGTTGAATCAAGTGCGTGGATAATTGCGAGAACAGATTCATCATAACATCAGAATCAAACCTTCTTTCTATTAGAAGTAAGAATTTACCGATAAGGAATCCAACCTATTCCATCCAAATATTATAATTAAGGAAAATTTATGTTCACTTAATTTTAGGTAATTCGAAAGACGCTGAGTTGTCTCTAATTTGCATTAAATTTCAGTGCAATATTATCATTAATTCTTGTAAGCAATAATGCTTGGAAAAATGACATGTATTCAACTTCCAAGAAGAACTCTTGTGATGAAATTTTTAAATCTAAGTCACTGTTTAAAAAAGCACTCTGACTCGTTTTATTGCATATCATGTTGAATAAGCATTGTAGCATAATAATTATAGCGAATAGTTAAATTGAAATACTATTATTTAGAATTTGTAATTAAACATTGACTTGAAAAATACATATCGTGAATATTTCTATGTTATATAGTTTATAAAATATCCACCGTCTCCTTGAAAGTAATCTCTGTTACCTTGATAATTTTCTCTTTGTTACAATTTTTAACAGGAATTGTAATCCTTTAACAAACAATAGGTGCAAAATTCTTGCTTATTAAAATTGGATATTACTTAGTCAAATTAATATTCACATCGATTCCAGTACAGACCCATAAGTATTTACAACTTCAAGTGAATAAATCCAAAATTGTTTGCGAGTTTGGCAATACAAAAAATGTTCATAAAAACTACAAGAGCACTACGCGACTCAGTACTGTGCAATAAATCATCTTAAACAAATAAATAGAATGATCTGTATGCAACTTGTAATACAGCATTTTAATATTATATCTTAACTGAAATAAAATGTTGTACAATAAAACTAAAGTGCGTTGAAATTGATTTTATACCTCTGATTCCAATTGATGATCAATTTTCAAAGAAAATTCAAGCAAACTTAACTGAACTCGTCGTACAGATGGAAAAATATAATATTGATTCGCATGCAAGTGTTTGGACTAGAGTAACATCAATGAAAACCAAAGAATTCGAATTAAAATATTATATTTATCCAATCTTTGAGTAACAATATCAAATATACAAAAAGTGTCTCTCCGCACCACCGCACAGCGCACACTACTTCACTCTCTCGAACTTGTGCTCGATCTCGTAAACGCCAACCGGCTGGTTAATCTTATCGCAGTAATCGGCCCACTCGCCCTCGCTCAGGTCGACCTCGTTGAAGGTCTTGCCGCCGTCCACGGCCTTGGCCACCCAGCCCTCGCGCGCCGAGAACTCTTTGGGCTCGAGGCCGCGACAGTCGAACACGGCCACCTGCCTGAACTCGCCGCAACTCTCGGCCACGATACCCCGTACCGTCTCTTGCAGTATGGTCAACGAGTTGTCGCGGCCGCACAGCTTGCACTTGGTCACGAAGTGATTGACGGCGCTGCCGCGCTGCGCGGGCGTCTCTTCGGAGAGCGACGCGTAGTTCCACTTGCTCGACATCTCGCCGCAATTGTTGCAGGTGAACTTGAGATACCAGCGAAAGTCCGGGCTCGTCGCGGGGCACAGGCTCTCGATGTTCTCGAGATTCGCCTTCAGTTTTAAAGCTATTTTAACCATGACTCGTTTGTCTGTTTGTTTTTTTTTTTTGGTTTCTAATCTGCAACGACGAAGTTACTTTTACAGGCATTCGGATTATTATATAGATTGAATAAACAGCGAGACGTCGCTGGAACGTCGTCGACAGGGTTTACATTTATATGCAAGTGTATATAGGTTAGAGTTGGGTATCGTATCGATAAAGAAATGGCATAATGCAACGATAAACTGACAACTTACAAGATTACTCCGAGTAGAGTTATCGCGCCCTTGCTTCCTTCTATACTTCGAACGGGGGGCGTCGAACGAGAAAAACAAAATGCAACGATCGAGGTTTTTTACTTTGGCAGTTGTCTGTATACACACGGTACGAATATAAAAACAGAGCACCGCCAGCTGTGATCTTCTTTCACGCGCGGCCGTCTCGCAGTGACCTGTTTTACCAATTATGCATAAATGCATGCCGCGAATCGCGTCGAGCTTCGACTTTTTTCCGCGGAGGGCGTAAGCGAACGGCCGAGTTCGGCCCGGCGCGAGCCCGCACAAACTGTGTAACGGCTGCCCGACGACTTCGAATCGCGAACGATTTGAAATTATTTTACGGTTGACCGTGAAGAATCGATGGGGCTCGCGTTACTCCTATTGCTGCAGTCGAGACAAAAGCATCGGAACGAAGGAAATGGTGAGTAGTGTTAATGAATAACGTTTATAAAAACTAACCGTTGAATAAGACCGACAGTATTGTACATCGTGAATCTCATCAAATTCTAAAATGCGAAATTCTCATGATACACACACGACATCTTTCACGATTCCGTTTAACGTCTCTCTCTGCAGGATCTTAATATTCGTCGCGCATCGTCGTAATACAAAAGGAGCGCGAGAGAGAAGAGCTACAGTATAGACCACTGCCGCGAGAGACGAGAGCGAGTACATACTGCAACACGTCTCTACACTGAAACGGCGAACGAGTGAGCCGCACACAGCGTCGTGAATAC